GGGTAATTAGGCATGTTGCAAAACACTGCCCACTAGAAATGTACACGATGGCTCTGAACATTGTTTAACTGCAGGCAAGCTGATGCGAAGATTGTGAGGGAACTCAGGGCTGAGGCAATGGGGTTGTGTGCTGGCGGACCCACCCAGCATCCCTCTCAGCAGGGGGCCTCTTGTTTGGCTGACCTAGCACCACTTGTCCCCAGTACCCAGTGTCAGTGGATCCCCGTATCCCCAATTCTTATGCCTTATGAAGAAGTTTGTCTTAGCAAGTAAGTTTCATTTCAATGCAGTATGACTTATTGATTCTGCTAACAGTTTCACATAGCATGGTGGAAATCAATCATCAGAAATGTTGCAGCTACTTCCAGCAGTTTATTTCAGTACTTCCCATAATAATGTATTATTGTTATAACATTTAATATATTGCAAAATAATAAAAATAAGCTTTGTCACAAATGTATTTTACTTCCAAGGAATAAGAGCCATAAGCCACGATGCCCAGAACCAGTGGCTAAGTGAAATATTCAGGGGTCTAGGTAGTAGATGCTTAATGCTGGGGGCATTGTTACCAAGACTTGAGCTTTTGACTTTGTTTCTGTTGGGAACATCAGATTTGACTAAATGTGTTCCCTGCAGTGAAGGTGTCTGGGGCACTTAGGAATGCTATCTGATTTTGGAGTAGAATTTTGATCTTTACAGAGATTAAACCCCTGGCTGAAGTAGCTTCATATACTGCTTAATATTGATTAAAATCAATGCAGACAGTATCTTTAATAGGTGCTATCCTGTTCCTAGAACATTTAAAGGACATTACATATAAGACAAGATGCTTAAAAATGTCAATCATGTAAGGAAGATGGTACAGGAAGATATCAAAACAACAGAGACTTTTTAACCATCAGATTCACAACACTGAATAAAATTGATAATATTCAGTGTTGGCAAGGACATATTCTGGTAGGGAAGAGGTACTCTCATATACTGTTGGTGGAAGAGTAAAAGGATTCAGTGAAAGGGTATGTTGGCAGTACCTAGAAATTCTGCTTCTGAGCACGTCTGAATAGTAAAAATGGGAGGTTAACTGTGAATTGTAAATAAACTATGGTAGATGTGTTGTTTTTAAATTTCTAAATAGTGTAAGGAACAGCCTGTTTTGTGTAAAGAAATACTAGTGTAAATAATAATGATAACCTTAATGAAATTAATTTGAATGAGTATTTAGAAGATGTCTTTTAGTGTGTTTCCCCATAAGAGAAGAATGCTTTCCCCCCTATTCTTTATGGGAGATTTCACTTCAGAAAGTCTATACAACAAAGTTGTTAATAAGAGAATTATTATGTTTACATGTGGACCATGTGTAAAATAAGATAGGATTCTTTGAGTTGCAAGTGGTAGTTTAAAATCCAACACAAACGGGCTTAAACCAATTAATAATAACCCACAGAAATGACCCTGACTCTTGTACCCGAAAGACAGGGAATGGGACTTCAAATGTTTAGCTGGAGGCAAAACTGCATGACTAGCATGCGCACAGGTTCCAGTGTAGAAGGAAAGATTAGGTGAGCCTTTCCCAGGAACCCCAACAAAAACCTCATTGCCTCTCACCTCTGAACGTGGGAGCTCCTGTTCAATGACTGGCTAAGAACTAAGCACCTTGACTGAGAGTGGAGAAAGAGACAGTCCTCTTGAAGGAGATCTAGAAGGATCACCTGGGGAAGGGTAGATTGGTACTGAACATCAAAAACCTGAGGCTTAACCCACACTTTTTATTTTTAACTGAACCAACTTTTAAATGGGTCAAAAGGGAGGTCAAATAAGATACTACATTTTAGCCTAACTATATCTGCTATCATCGACTTGACAGTGTTGTCTGATAACGAGGCTCTTCACATCCCTTGACTCTGCTCAGAGTCTTCATTTTTGACGAACAGAGTTGGGTCATCTGCATGTTGCAATTTGTTAATGAGTCTTCATCCAATGTAAGGTTGACTTCTTTTTCAAAGTCTAGCTTCTTGGATTTTGTACTCCTCATACAGACTGAATACACAAAGTAACAGGATGCAACACTTTATCACTTAATCTGCCTTATGAGCCATTTTTAAGTTGTTCTAGTTTTTTATGGTTTCTGCTTTCTTTTTCTTTTGTTCCCCCTGCTTTCTTTTCAGTTGAGATTTTCTGTTTCACTTTGTTATTATTGTTAGTTGTCCAAATTGGACACAGAATAAGAAAGACCAAAAAAGATGAATGCATTTGAATTATGGTGCTGGCAAAGAATGTTGAAAGTACCATGGACTGCCAAAAGAACAAACATCTGTCTTGGAAGAAGTTAAGCCAGAATGCTCCTTAGAATAGAAGATGGCAAGACTTCATCGCACCTGCTTTGGATGTAGTATCAGGAAAGACCAGTCCCTGGAAAAGGACATCACTCTTGCTAAAGGAGATTGGCAGACAAAAAGAAGAAGAATGTAAAAGAGATAGAGTGGCTGCAACAACGGGCTCAAACGTAACAACTGTGAGGTTAGTGCAGGACTGTGTAGTGTTTCGTTCTATTTACACAGGGCCGCTGTGAGTCAGAACCAACTCAACGGCACATAACAACTACTAAATGAACGAACCAGCCCTAAAGAAAACAGGGAGAAAACTCATTTAAAGTGAGATGGTGAGGCTTCATCTTTCTTACGTTGGACACTTCATCAGAAGAAGCCAATTGCTGGAGAAGAACATTATGTTTTGTAGACGATCCACGAAAGATGTGTTGACAGTAGCTGCAACATGGGTTCAAACAACTTTGGCATGAGTGTGAGGAGGGCACAGCACTAGGCAAAATTTTGTTCTCTTCCATTTAAGGTGGAACTTCCTTGACAGCTAAAAACAACCAAACTTGGCTGGTCCTGGTCACACTCATGCTGGTGCTATTTGGGGAATAAGATTCAATTTGCTGAGTGACACATCACTTATATAGCCAATCTGAGAAATAGTTCTCAGGTCTTGCTAAGGAGACTGAAGAAACCAGATTTCGGCTCATTCACCTGTAGCCAAGAAAACTGAAGCAGACCATGGTGAGCATCAACTCTCACCTCCCAGAGGGCGAGATTGAATCACATACCACGTTTCTGGTAAAGCCAGGACCAGAATAGTAATAATATTGCGATATCACTAAAAATGGTGATAATATTAATAGAAGCTAGCATTTATTGGGAGAGAGATGAGGCCTTCTATTCCCATACGGAGTTACAATTCTAGAAACCCACAGGGGCAGTTCTACCCTGTATTGTACAGTTGCTGGGAGTTGGGATATCAACTCAGTGCCAGTGAGTGTTGAGTTGCGCGTCTGTCCCGTGTTATCAGAAGACAGGCTGTATGGTAGCATGTTCTACACAATGCCTTTCTTACTCCTCAGTGTTCATTCTCAAGTTATTGGCAGCCGAGGCACAGAGGGCCTTGTAAGCTACATAGACTTGGATCATCCTTTCCAATCATGTGTTTGTTTACTTTGTGGTGCAAATACATAAAACATTTGCCAATTCAAAGATTTCTTCATGCCCAATTCAGTGACATTGATTACACTCATGTTACACAACCCTTATCCCTCCTTTTACTAATTATTCTATCCCCATTAAGGTAAACTTGATGCCCCTCAAAAAACTCCCTTTTCTTCTGCCTTTTACTCCTGGTAACTATTGTTAGGCTTTGGTTTCTACGTATTTATTTACTTATTTAATATAAATAAGGTTATACAGTATTTGTCCTTTTCTCCTTTTCTTATTTTGTCTTCAAGGCTTACCTATCATGTAGTGTATCGGGACTTCATTTATCTTTGTGGTTGAGTAAGATTCCATTGTCTGCATGTGTACCACACATTGTTGTGTACATCTGCTGATGAAGGCTAGGCTGTTTCTGCATTTTCTCTGTCGTGAAAGTGTGACTGGTGTGAACCAGTAGCACAGTGAATGTTCCCGGAATAGATCATGAACACTGGTGTGCTGGTCTCTGTTCGTGTTCTTGTCTTCACTTCTTTGGGATTGAGATCACTGAGTCATCTGTTAGTCCCTTGTTTAATCTTTTGAGGAACAATCAAACATTCTCACAACTGGTAATAGCATTTTGCATTTCCACCAGCACTGAATTAAATTTCCAATTTCTTCACATCCTCGCTATCATCACGTTTTCCATGTTTTGGTCATTGCCATTCTAATTGGGATAAGGTCGTATCTCATTATATCTTTGATTTGCATTTCCCTAACGGAGCTCCAGTGGCATACTAAGTAAGCACCAACTGCTAACTGATAGCTTGTGGTTCCAATCCACCCAGCCGCTCTATGGAAAGAAGAATTAGTAATCTGCCTCCACAGGAATTACAGCCTAGAACACCCTAAAAGGCAGTTCTGCACCCTCCCTTGGGTTTGCTATGAGTAGCAATCTGACAACAACAGTAATGGCTAGTGATGTTGAGTATCTTTCCATGTGCTTTTGGCCATTTGAATATCTTTTTTGGTGAACCGTTCGAGTCCTTTGCCCATTGTTTTTAATGCTTGTCTTTTTGTTGTAGAATTGTAGGAGTGGTTCCTCTCACTTCCTCTTAATGTATTTTAGATAATTGGATTCATCTCAGAAAAAAATAATTCCCCAAAATTGTCTCCCCATCTGTGGGTTGTCTTTCCACATTTAAAAATCTTTTTATGAACAAGAGTGTTTAATTTTCATGAGCTTCCAGTTGTCTGTTATATTTTTTGCTGTTTACACTTTTGTTGCCATAGCTGGTGACCCATTGTGAAATATGAAGTCCTGCAGCCAGTGCCCCTATGCTTTCTTCTAAGAATGTTCTTTCACACTTAGGTCTTTAACCCATTTTGAAAAAGTTTTTGTGCATGGCATAAGGCTTAAATCTTGTCTCATTCTTTTGTTTACAGAAACATAATTTTCCCAGCACCACTTATGGTAAGACTCTTCTTTCCCCCATTGAATGGACTTAGCACTTGTCAACGTTCCTTCTCTTTTAGATCACAGGGAGGCCTCTCCATCCCAGGACCAACCAGTGCTGATTTATAACCTTGCCCCGGGCTTGGGAAGTGGATTGAGTAAAGCCTGCCCTGGTCAGTACACCTGTTGTCTGTGTTCTCACATAGACCTGGCAGGGGTCTATTCTTTGTAATAATTAAATTTTCCACTTTAAAAGTCAGTTTTAATTTGGCAATATTTCTTTAAACAGGAACTTCCAGAGAGCTATTGCAAAGGAACCCAGATTATCTACAAATAAATGAAATACTATTAATCAGCGATCAAGAATTTCTCCCATGCCATATAATGGATCAGCATTGGAAGTTCTATGCAGAATGTGAGGAGCTAACATTCTAAAGTCTTGTTATCTTAATAATTTATATAGGTATTTGTTCGAATTACTAACATTTCATGTTTTAGCTTGAGTGAGCTGCTGTGCCTTTTGTGACATAGTATATGTCATGAGGTATTCATGAATTGCTCCTTAAGATGCGTATATTTATAACTCTTCAAACTATTTTTTCATTAAAACTTTTTTTTGCCTTTGAAATAAAAGCATTTTTGAACTAGCCCTAATTGACTCTCTGGTTTTCTTTTTACTGGCATAAACTAATGTTTCAGTCAACACCTCTACCTTTATATTGATAGCAGTAATCTCATGATAGAAGTGGGGATCCGTGGACTTAAAAACAAAACGTCCCAGGTAAAATGAATCTACTTAAAACAAGAATTTAAAGTCCCGGTGCCACCTCCCAATTCATTTCAAAATGTGCCTTGAAATAAATCATGAAAGAGGTTTATTTTAAGTTTCATAAAATTTAGTTTAGATAGAATTTTAAATATATTAACTCACAGAGCAAAGAATGAATGAAGTGTTGATTTGGGTGTTGATTATATAAATCAGATAAACGTCATACTTCATCTTTAATATCTGTTATGTTATCATAAAAGAGGATTTTTAAAGAAAAATATATTCAAAGGTTTTACCATTTTCTCTAAGGGTTTCTATGAATTCTTTTATAGCTAAATTATGCTTTACTTATACCTCACCTCAGACTCCCAAATAAGTTCATGGAGTTTTTTTTTATTATTCTGTGGCCTAATTCTCTACTTCTTCTCAGTTAGATAGAGAAATCAAATTTATAATTAAAATTATTCCATTAAATGCTAGGATTTTAGGGAACTTCGAGATAGGTTATGGGATTTTTAAGTTTAGTTCCAATATATAGACTCTTAGCTCCCTTTTTAATCTCTAGTACACTGGTTCCTAACTGCCCTCACTCAAAAGCTGCCTGCCACCGAGTTGAGGTCAGTTCACGGCAGCCCTGCAAGGCTGGGTGGAATGGCCCCTGTGAGTGCACGAGACTACATACAACTCTATGGGAATAGAAAGGCCCCATCTTTCTCCCGTGGAGAAGCTAGTGCTTTTGAACTGTAGACCTTGAGGATTGTAGCCCAACTCATAACCACTACGTCACCAGGGCTCCTAACAGTTGCCTCTAGGGAGAGAGAAGGCCAGGATGAAAGGAAGACTGACTTGACGACATGTTTCTTCCTAACTTAAAACTGGTAGTGAGAAAATGGTGAGGAGACCATATCTGACCTCCTTTGTCTACACAACGGAGAATGAGAATCTTATCTCCTCACCAGCCCAAGGCCACTTGCCACATGGCAAAAGGTAGACTTGCCTCTACCTTCCATCTTTCGTTACCACCCTCTTCTGATACCAACCTTTCCTCCCACAGCACTTTGCTGGATTCAGTAATTCATTGCAGCGGCCACACAGAACTCACAGTCAAAGCTCACAATTATGGGGATTTATTAAGGAAGTTTATAAGGGGTTATGAGGAGCAGGTGTACCATAAGCCAGGATCAGGAACCGTTAAGGACGCAGTCATTGGTCCACAGCCACACCTCTCCTTGGCCAGTAGCCAAGTCTCTCGGGTCCTCAGCCTCTCAGCCCTTGGCCTATGCCTTTGTCCATGGGCCAGGAAGCCTGCCTGCCGCTCTGCCTCACAGTCTCAGTTTCGGCACTGCTCTTCTACTCTTGTTTCCTGGTCTCCTTGCCTCAGCCTCTGGTCTCTGTAGGACATGGAATCTGCTGCCTCCTCTACTTTAGGCAGGAACTCTGAACATGCTGCACTGGTGATTCCTCTTCCTCGAGGGTCCCAGGTATTCTCTCTGTTCCTGCATCTAAAATACATCTCTTAAAAACAAGCAGCTGCAATGGACCAATCACCTTGATTAGTATTTCATATCCCCATTTGCTTGGTTACATTCATCATTTGGTGGGAGTTACAGAGATATGGATAGAGGAGCCATATAAAAAATTACACAGGTAATGTGTACGTTTTCTATTTATTTAGATAAATACTTTTTAAATATCTGAAACACCCACAAATATTTGCCTATTAATCAAAATAGGAACCCCTATGAAGAAATGCATGAAGGCCATGCCTAATTTCCTCTAACTTCACAAGGGGCGAAGGGAATCCCACTACATGTCTGCCCAAATATGACTCCAGTAAGGCAGAGATCATACTTGCCTCTACAATTTTCTTGACCCTTTTCTGACACCACCCCTCCCACAGCACTCTATAGTTTTGATAGGGTTGACAATTCATTACAATAACCACATAGAACTGCTAGATGACACAAGTATGAGGTTTATTAAGGAAGTGAATGAAGTCAAGAGCTGAATAGAAATTTCAAATGGCAGCTTGAGAAGACAAAGCCAAATATTATAATGAAATGTGCAAAGACTTAGAAAACCAAAATGGAAGAACATGCTCAGAATATCATAAACCAAAAGAACTCAAGAAAAAAACCCAAGCCTCAAGTTGCAATATTGAAAGATTCCAAGGGTAAAATATTGAATGATGCAACAAGTAGCCAAAGATGATGGAAATACAAAACAGACTCACTGTACCAAAAAGAACTAACTAGTGGACACTTGACCATTTCAGGAGGGAACATATGAGCAAGAACCAATGGTGTTGAAGGAAGATATTCAAGCTGTCACTGAAAGCATTAGCCAAAAACAAGGCTTCGGGTACTGATGGAATACCAATGGAAATGTTTCAACAAGCTGGTGCAGCATGATGCATATCATGAAGCTGGAAGCACTCACAAGTCTTTTTTGCCAGGGCATTTGGAAGACAGCTACTTGGCCAGCTGACTAGAAGCGATACATATTTGCCCATTCCAAAGAAAGTTGACCCAACAGGATGATCAAACTATAGAACCATATCATTGATATCACAAAATTTGCTTGAGATCATCCAACAATAGTTGTAGCAGTACGTTGACGGAGCTGCCAGAGGTTTAGGCTAGACTCGGACAAGAATTTGGAACAAGGGATATATATCGTTGCTGATGTTAGATGGAACTTGGCACAAAGCAGAGAATACCAGAAAGATGTTTACTTTTGCTGTATTGACTATGCCAAGGCATTCGACTGTATGGATCATCAAAAACTAGACAACATTGAGAATAATGGGAATTACAGGACACTCCATTGTGCTCCTGTGGAATTTGTACATGGATCAAGAGGCAGTTGTGTAAACAGAACAAGGGACTACTGCTTGACTTAAAATCAGGAAACGTGTGCAACAGGGTTGTATATGCTCACCTTATTCAATTTGTAATGCTGAGCAAATCATCCGAGAAGCTGGTTTATATGAAGAAGAATGTGGCATCAGGATTAGAGGAAGGCTTGCTAACAACCTGAACTATTTAGACACAACCTTGCTTGATGAAAATGAGGAGGACTTGAAGCACTTGCTGATGAAGATTAAGGATCACAGCCATCAGTATGGATTAAAACTCAATGTAAAGAAGGCCAAAATCCTCACAACTGGACCAATAGATAATATGATAAATGGAGAAAAGATTGAAGTCGGCAAGGATTTTGCCATGCTTGGATCCACAATCAATGCACATGGAAGCAGCAGTCCAGAGATCAAAAGATGTGTTGCATTAAAGGTAAATTTGCTGCACAAGACCTCATTGCAAGGATGTTACTTTCAGGACTAAGGTGCACCTGACCCAAACCATGGTATTTTCATTTGCCTCGTGTGCGTGTGAAAGTTGGACAATTAATGAGGCAGACTAAAGAAGAATCGATGCATTGGAATTGTGCTGAAGAAGAGTATTGAGAGTGTTGTGGACTGCTAAAAGGACAAGTGTCTGTCTTGGAAGAAGTCCGGCCAGAGTGCTCCTTCAAGGCAAGGATGGTGAGACTTTATCTTACCTACTTTGGACAGGTTACGAGGAGAGACCAGTTCCTGGAGAAGGGCATCATGTTCGGGAAAGTAGAGGGGATGCTAAAAAGAAGAATGCCCTCAAGAAGACATTGGATTGACACTGTGGCTACAACAATGGGCTCAAGAATAGGAACAATTACAGGGATGGTGCAGGACCAGGCAGCGGTTCATTCTGTTGTACATGGGTCACTATGGGCTGGAACCAACTCAATAGCATCTAACTATAACCAGAGAAGTTAACAGTTACAAACAAATCAGTATTTTAAAATGTTACAGATACAGTGCTTTTTTTTTTCACAGCACTTCTCGGCCATGCAAGTGGGCGCACCTCTCGTTACTTTAACAAATATTTAGATTATGGATCACTAAGTAATATAGGTACCAATTTGAAAATTATAACTATAAATATGAAAAATTACAAATTTATGGGCAATGTTTAATGTAAATCCTTGTTTAGTGAAAACTTCTTTGAGTTCATGCATGTTAAATCATATCTATATTGTACATGTTATATATACCTTTATATTTTTAGTTATAACCATGTCATTGTGTAAGGGGTTGCTGACTACAGGTCTTGTTCCTGTTGTTTGGGGCCTTCCAGTGCACTCTGACTCATCGAGGCCCCATGTACAGCGGAATGAAGCACAGCCCACTCCTGTACTGTCCTCACAGTTGTTAGGTTGGAGCTCATAGTTGCAGCTACTGCGTAAATCCAGCTCACTGAGGGCCTGCCTCTTTGGGGCCGACTTTACCAAGCATGCTGCCTTTTCCATTCCTGCTCTCTCCTGATACCATGGCCAAAGTTTGTGCGATGAAGTTTCACCCTCCTAACTCCTAGTCTGGCAGAATTCCTTCCAAGACAGATTTGCTTTTCTGCAGTCCATCGTACTTTTCCTATTCCACACTAACACTGCTCATTGGTGGAAAGATATGAGGAAGTCATACTGGACAGTTCCAGTGTAAGCACATTGGTCTCTGCTCCTGAAGCTTTCTCCTTTTCAAGATTAACAAAAAAATACTGCCTAAACTCAACTTGCACAGGGAGCTAGTCTGTTCCTTCTAGATGAATGTGCCCATGTTGTTGCTGCCATTAAGTCCGTTGCAATTCACTAGCAACCCTATGGAGAAGAGAGCACTGCCCAGACCTACGCTGTCATCACACTTGTTATACCGGAGCCCATGGTTGCAGCACTGTGTCAAGCCGTCTTGTTGATCCTCCT